TACTGATTGATGTGCTTGTATTCTTCTTATATTATATTGTACAGTGTCTTTGAGTATTCAGAAAAGCGCTTTTTAAATAAAATGTATTATTATTATTATTTCCTTCCCTCCTGAAATGCGGTGGAGTAAAAGTCTCAATATTCAGATGCAGTGCGAGTGCCTCAGAATTGTTCATCATAACCCAAAAAATGTAAATATAGTTAATATTAAATAAAAGTAGCTTGGCCATGCAACGTGAATAACATCCTAGATATAGATCTGAAATGTGATCTTATGTTTATATTATTACTGTTTACTAGCACTTGAACAAATCATGAGACTGGATCCTTGTTTAGCATCATATCCCACAGATAGAACGCAAGCAGAAAAAGTAGCCGTGCTTAATTTTAAAAAAGTAAGTCATGTTTATCTTCTTCACACGGTGCCAGACAGCATCTGACATTTGCTCAACATGTGGACACAGACATCAGTCCCTCTGCCCTTGAGTTAGAAGGTTATTATACATTTGTCTGCTTATAGATGCCCACACAGCGTATTGTTTATGCCTGGCTTTTTGGTGTGTCGCATTGCTGAGGGTGAAGGTGGGTGAGGTCTTTGCACTTGAGCAGGCGGGTGTGACTAATCTATCAGTGATGTAGACTAAAGCTCCCCATTGCTGAGGTGCTTAGCATTCTTTCCCTCTGAGTCCTCTTCCAGTCTACTGTGCTGCCATAACCACAGAGGTTCAAATTCATCAGCACTTCTGTCCACTATTTCACCCAACTCATACCGGGCACACACATATACACATGCATGTTGTCCTTTCCAACTTTATTGCTCTGAAATACCATTTTTTATACTGTCACTCTGTTTTCCAAGTAACATCTGTGTTTATTTGTAACACATCATGAAACAGTGTATGCCAGTTAACTGTATAATCATGTCATCCATCCTCTCCTTAGTACAGTCAGAGGGATGGTGATACATGCCTGTCATGCCATTAGAGTCTTCAATGAAATATGAAAGCACTTACAGGATATCTTTGAAAGGAGATCTGGAGTCTATAAACACTAGTCTATAAAAAATAATTAATTTATAGAGAATTAATGGTGTAAAAAAAAAGATATATAGGTGATGTATAGCTCTGTGAGTAGCCGTATTGCCTTAACTCCACCAAGGTCAAGGGCTTTTGGTTACACACACTAAAAATGTGTGCACTTGCGACAATGTATGACACTTCAGACAGAAAAAGGGCCAAATAACATATGTATGATGCCATACATATAATAGATTATTGACTTTCCAGTGTTGAGAGCAATCTCTCAACCCCTTGATACGATGGATATAATATACCCTCAGTCACAGATTTATGCAACAACAGTTGGAGCTGCAATCAAAGATTTTCCATTTGCTTGCCCCGAATGACTTAATGACTCAGAATGAATTGTAATCTCATGAGGTATTAGGTTAGGGACAGAGGGATTATCCAAAATTACTGCCATCAAACATGCCCAGACAGCCTGAATGTGACTCAGATGGTGCTGCTATTGTAGCAACAATAATTAGTACAGTAAAATGACATAATCCCTTTTTGTTTGACAGTTTTGTCACGGAAAGTTTTAATTGGCTGGAGTGGTCTTTTGAACATGAAAAAATCCAGACGTTAAAAGGAGAAAACATGCCTTAAAACATGTGAGAGCACCATACCGATGTTATGCAAGTGTTGCTAGCTACAACGTATTGCACAGGAGTGCTGCATGTGAGCTGTCAAAGTTGGGTGGTCTGTGTTAACCTTTGACTTGTTGTACCCCAGCTTTATCTTAGCATTCACGTAAACACATACATACTGTACACACAAGCATACGTTATTTATTCCCTCATTGTTAAGTGTAATCACATACAGTATACAGTAGTGGTTAGGTAGACAATATGTGGGGCGGGGATGAACTTCAAGCTCTGTATTTCCCCTTTCTTTCCCCACCAGCATGCCCTCAGCTAAAGCTATGGCTATCTGGCCCTGATAGTATAGGTCTATATATAGAGGAGCCCTGTGACTGAGCTGCCTGTAAGTGTCAGATTCCAGGCGCACTCATCCGCCCTGGCCGGCTCAGCACCTGCTGCTAACTATAAACCCACCCGCCCCCAGCGCTGCACCCCAGCCCAGCACACAGAGGAAAGCTAATGTCCAACCAAACCCCAGCCTGGAGAAGAAAAAAGATCCAGGTTGGACTCTGTGAGCAATTTCCCCGAGGCCAGCTCATAAGGGAGGGGCAGAAATAGAGATGGGAGCATTAGAGGATGTAATGGGTCTAAGCGAGATGCCCCGCTTTGCTTCTTCTATTCAAGTCTGATACATGGCAGTGCATTTTGCATTCTGAAGCTGTCTAGCCAGTGTGGCACTGCCAGACTGAGCTGTGCAGGGCTGCTCATTCCTAGATTCAGCTGAGGATTTTGAGAGACAGTTCACTGGATGAGGGGCAGATATTGCAACACAGAGGAACTCAATGCCCTTGGGAAAGCCTCATCATTGGCCAAAGGTACAGTACCAATTATTCTGTCTTTCTCTATTTGCAAAGGGAGCAGTCTCTCTTTCTCTTGTCAGTCCTACACCAATCCAATATGGAAACTTAGATAAAGGGTATGTATTGTGCAGAGCTAATCTAAATATTCTCACTTTCCATATAAAATGGATAAATCTCACTCTTTGTAATTTAAAATGAGTTGCATGTCGTATATAATGTCTTGATGAAATCTTTTGAGATTTTAAGCACATGTAGAGATACACTGAATTTCTGGTATCAACTCAGAGTAAATGTTTGCTTATTGTCTTGTGTTGATTTCAAGTAGCATGCAACTGGATTTTATAGCATTTTGACAGTTACAGTATGTTAATGTTCTGAACCCCTTTTGGAGAATTACAATCTGTGTGCTGTAGGTATTCTCAGAACATTTGAGGGTTAAAAGCTAAATTTGCTGTTGACAAGCTGACAAAATGGAAATAATGCACAATGCTTTAGCCTCTGTAGTTGCTATTAATAGGCTTTTGGCTCTTAATGATATTCATCAGTATTCCTGGTGATATAAATGAATAAGCTACACACCCTCCAGGTGACCATGTCTCATTTCCAGTCCAGGAACAGAGCCTAGAACACACTAGAGGAGCAGACTGGACTGGCCAAAGTGAGAATTTGGAGCTTGTGGACGAGCAATGGACAGCTGGACTCTCCAGGGGGACAGCTACTCCTTCCTGCGCAGTGCGCCCCGCACCTTTACCCTGTGCCATCGTGACGGCACCCCGAACCACGTTGAAATCTTCGACATCATCAACGTACCTAGTCAGCGCAGTGCAATTTCCGAGACTACCTGCCTGTGTGACATTTTTGGAGACGACTGTGAGTCACCCTCCCTCCCAAGAAGCCCTGCTGTAGCGGCTTTTGTCCCTTCCCAGAGGGAGGTGGATGGGACAGCTGCTGCATCACCCCTGGTTGATGATCTGAACGACTCTTCAGGCTCTTATCACACTGCACAGGGCTCCAGTGAAGGAGAGGAGGGCTTTGAAGATCCAGGAGAAAGGGTTTACAGCCCCCCCTTGCAGAGTGAGTCTTCTGAGAGGCCTAAGGGCGAGGGACTGAGTTTAGGGCATCAAGAAGTTTCTGAGGACAGTAGCCCAGATTTAGAACCAAAAAGTAAATCACCTGAAACTCAGCTTAGTAGGGCTCACAGCCCGTCATCTGAAATTCTCAACACTGGTGAGAGGACCCCCTCTCTTGGAAATAACAGCCCCTATAACCTGAGTCCAGAGGGGAGAAGGTCATCCTTATCTTATTCCTCAGTTGAAAAAAGATGTTCACCATCGCCACCTAATCCCAGACAAGCGCATTCAGAAGCTGATCCAAGGAGAATTGCTTCTACTGTCAAAGATAGATTCAACAGCCCTTCACATCAGTCTTTAACTCCAAGTCCCTCCTCTGAACCTAGGAACTGTGTCAGCTCATGCTCTTCTGAATCAGTGAACACCCACTCTTTACCTGAATTCAGCGTAGCACAAGTCTCACCTGAGCCAAGGAGCAGCGACTTTAATCAACACAGCAGTCCCTTACCTGAGCCCACATCCAAAGATTTTTCTCTAGATTTGACAGAATTAGCCGTTGAATCTAGAGCCCTCTGTTCATCTCCTTTACCTTCATCCAGTAGTACAGATTTATCCCAGTCAAGAGAAACACTGGTCTCTCCTGAGCTGAAGAATAGGTCCTACTCCCCTGATACTCAAGCACCATCTCCTTTTCCTGAGCTAAGGAGAGTCTCCCTGCCTGATCTCTTCAGCAGAGGTTTCACACCTGATATTGAAAATTCTACCCACACCCCTGAGCTGATTTCAGATTTTTGCACTGCAGGAAGGGACACCACAACTACTCCTGAGAGCCAAGATACAAGCTTATCAGTTGAACCAGTCAGCACCGTGTCTACACCTGCCCCACGATACACACCTCCCTCACCTGCAATAGCAACATCTCCTGAGCTTGCATGGAGTAGTGTCTCACCTGAATTAAGTCACACAGCTCCCTCACCTGGCCTGCTCAGTGCTGCTTCTTCAGCTAAAACTGGGGCAAGAACTCCCTCTCCTGACCCCTCACGTAAAATAAGACATATTTCAACTCCTTCTGAAATCGGGACCCAGGTGTCTACATCTGAGGTAAGTTATAGTTTATCTCCTTTGCCTGAAGTTACGAGCAACTGCTTTCCCATCGAGCACAGA